GAACCAACCAACCAACCAAGAAAAAGGAGACCCTTTTTGGTGTGCTTCACCCACCACGGGATTTACATGGTCAAAGTGCCAAGGGACCGCCTGAAGGCCCTGGGCAAGGTCCAGGTCGCATCGCATTGAGGCAACGACTTTGCTGTAGACATAGTACCCCAAAAAAAACGGGTGGCTTCTTGCTGGCTTCCCTCTAGACCAACCCCAACAAGGGCACGCTCCAACACACCCACGCCCGACGCGTTGCTCGCGTCGCTCGCGCCTGTACAGCATCTTCCGCTGCTGCCACACCAGCAGCGCCAATGGCGCCAGGAAGGTGGCAGCAAAGAGCGTGAGGATCCTCTGGCGCAAAACCGGCCACCACGAACCCGGGGGGACGCTTGGTGTACGAAGGTGTTTCAAAGGATCCAAGCACCCCAAACCCCAAACCCTGTTTTGGGGGTGCGGGGAATTTGAACAGAACCGGCGCCAAAAGACGAGTAAACCACACCCAAAGCACCGGGTCACCAGGGACGAATCAGCTAAGAACTACAGTGAGAAATCGTCCATTGGCGCATGGCTTCCCCCTTTGTTGTCTTATTCCTCATGCCAACAAAGAAAGATATTATTGTAAGCAAAAAGACAGATGACAGCTAATAAACGATTTATCATCAACCACTTTATCTTTCCAGGCAAGGCTTGATCTCAATTTGGACAAACCGCCTACATGAGCAAATGGTGACATGCTATCTATACAAACTGCCTGCCATTTTGCACAACATCCCACCAGGAGCAATCCATCAAAAATCAAAGCATGTAACCAACAACGCTGGACGTACTGCTGAATGATTGAGTATGACATATTTCCCTCAATCCCTCACCAAAACTGAATGGGGTTCCAGCATTTTAGAACCTTCCTCCTCGCCCCCAAGTGTATACAATTTGGTATACAGTCATTCTAGGATGAATTGCACAGGCACGGCCAAGTGTCGCATAAGTTGTCTTTGATTAATACTTTGCGGGGGATTTTTCACAAACATTCAAACGTGTTGGACTTTTGACACTATACCCGACGATCAAATGTACCATGTGATTTCTAGACCAGCGATGAGAACAGCCCTCTTTCGAGCCCTCAAGGTCAAGGATTATGAGAGGGGCGAACCCCGTCTCAAATTGCTTGGAGGAAAAGTCACAGACCAACACATGTGCCATGAACCAAATCTCCTAATCTCCTCCTGTGAGTTATGGTTCCCTTAGCTAGTGACTTCAATTCTTCTAAAGGGCAGTTGGCTACCTGCACATGATGTATCAGGTTTGCACTAGACCGAGGTGAAGTATACAATCAGAGAATAATGACGCATTCTTGGGGCACATGGTACAGGCTCCACTGCGGAACGATCAAGTGGCTGACTGATGCTTGAACGAATTCTGCCCGCCATGAGATCCTCATTTGTTTGGCCCATACAACTTGACCGAGCCACTACATAAGTAAAGGCGCCAAATTTGGTTCTCGACACACATCCCAAAACTAAAACCACTGAAAGAACCATATAATATAAATATATACATACATATTACCGGACAACACAGCAAAACACAATTGTCCGAAAATCCGTCATTTTGAAGCATCCAAAACGGCATATTTAGCTTACCAAACGAACACCCTCGTTTTGTCCAGGGCTAACGTGTCTCGTGGCAAGTGGATTCTCAGCCGTCCCAGGCACCGCGCCACGGAGCCCCAGATGGTGCCTTCCTCTTCCACCTAAATAGCCGGCGGCGACATGAGCCACCAACGCGTTCGCGTTTCGAAGGCGGCGTTTCGAAGGCGGGGGAGGGGTTGTGGTTGCTTCTTGTCAGGCACCAACTATGATCCGGCCATTTGAAAGTGAACCAGTTCAGGCAGAGTCGCTTTGAGACTCCAAGGCCATGTTGCGATCATCCGACTCGGAACCTTCAGGCGCGCCATTGAATTCTAGGGGTGCTGGTCGAAAATTGCAACCCACGGCCTGGGACTCAACCTTTTCCACTGACCATCCATGGGACTCGTCCCGACACGCAGCCCGCATGAGACGGGCCTCAGAGGCCTCAGACTGGCGCCTTGCTCTTGTCAAATGTCAGACCCTTCGCGCGCTTTTTTGATGAGGGGTAGCAAACCCGACACCAAACGGCACCTGGATCAATGAGCCAGTCCAAGTGAGAGAAGCCCTCGTAGAAACATGGAAACGCTGAGAAGTGCAACAAAGGGGACCAAGCCGAGTTTCTACCTTTGGTTTGAGCATGCCTTTCATGGGTTCCAAGGCCCCCCCAAAAAAAACACGACAAAACTTCTGCCACGTAAGGCCTCAATATTATCAGGTAGTTGGGGAGGGCGCAGGGTTCACCTTTGAGTTTAGGTTGAGCTCCAGGCGTCCACATGGAGAATCGATGGATGGCACTGATATGCACCAACGGACACACAGCCCTTCAACATCCAAAACGGGTGGTTTGGGTGTCAACAACACCAGAACAACCCAACATTCACACACACACACACACACACGGCACACCTGCCCGCCCGCCCATCCCCACCCACCCACCCACCCACCCACCCACCCACCCACCCACCCACCCACCCACCCACCCACCCACCCACCCACCCACCCACCCACCCACCTACCCACCAACCCACCCACCCACCCACCCACCCACCCACCCCATCTCCATCTACCCACGACTCCCACAGCCAAAAACAAACACGGACACACATGAGCTGCGCTCAAGGCCCATTGACTGCTGGTTCTACTAACATGGTTATCAATATCTATGAGGGCTTTACTATAACCTTCTGCCAAGCAGACTCATCCACGCAAATGGCCCGGCCGAATCGGTGCTACGTGCTAACATGCAACCAAAAACAAAACAAAACCCCGCCTCCCGTTTTTTTTGGGGGCTTTGCTATAACCCCTCTCAAACCAGGCAGGGCCCAAGAGGACTCGGTTTTGCCGTGGCAGCCCCCGGCGGCACCTCCTCATGAAACTCCTCCGGCTCCCTCTCCCAGAGCTGCAGTGAGAAGAGCAGCGCCAGAGCTAGCGCCAGGACCTGACATCCGGTCAAACACCCACCCCGGATGGTGGAGACGTCATCATTAGAGTTATGCCCTGTAGAATGTAGATTTTTTTGTTTGCTTCACATGGAGTCACTGGTAAAATGTAAAATGTCTCCTAAGTCTACCCCAGACTTTGGGTCCTATTTAGCAACCTCCCTCTTTTGGACCATTGGCTTTTGAGGGCTCTTGGTTGCAAAGTAGACTCCTATGGAGCGTCCATGGCACACGCTTCGGCACCAAACGCAGCTTTTTTGTTGTTGTTTTTTTCCCTGTTGGGTGCTGTACTCAAATTGAGTTCCTTGGTTTGTGATGTACTCAAATCGAGTTCGTCGGGATGTCGAACAAGGGGGAAGGGTCTAGTGGCCAAGTCGGGGAAGCCACGAAACGGATCTCCTTTTGATGTCTCTTCAAAATTACCCCCAACAAAGGGCATCCTCAAGGCGCGCCTCCGCCTGAAAACACCCTTGTAACTTTTGTTACAAGCCAACTCCTAGGCCCATCTAAGCACCCCTCTAAGTGCATCTTTTTGTTGAGGGTCGCTGGTTGGATTGTTTTAAAAGGAAACCACGGGGAAACCACTCAGGGAGTTCCCTATTCGTGAGGGTACCCTTTGCGCCAACATTTCGGGGTCCCCCTATTTTGACATATACCCTGAACTTGTGTAATTGGTCAATTTCTGTTTTCCCTCCATCGGTCCTGGATACATCTACGTAGGTATGGGTCAAACTTAAACCGCCCGGGGGCCTTCGGGTTTTTAGTTCCATGTTGGGTGCCAATGACCAATAGGCAAGTGAGAGTCAAACATGAAAACCGCTGCAGCAAAAGTCTCACTGCAGGCGAAGCGGCCGCGAGCCAGCCCTGCATCGGCTCCAGGCTCGCGGCGAATTGATCGGACGGAGCTCGTTGCTTTCGACCCAAAGCGCGCAGTTAAACCTGAGGGCTGTATGGAAATACCGGGTCTAATCCATCCCGAGGGGCTTTTACAGTTTTTTTTGTTGTTTTTACCATAATTTTAATTAGGGCCTTGATTAAGGCACTTTCTTAAGCCCGGGGCTTCTTCAGGGTTGCTCCGAACACCCGCAGAAACTTAGCCCCTGGTGAAGCCGACGAAAAACCAACCAACTTGCTACCATGGTTGTCTCGTCTCATCTTTCGGCTCGGAGCAACCGCCCGGGGTGGTTTCCTGGGGCTTCCTTTCGCTTCCGCTGGTGGCTACCATCCTGTCGATCTCAATTCATCGAAAGGATCTTCCAAGCAGCTGTTTGATACACCTCAAATGGGTCCCAAACATGGAGATCTGAGAGAAACCCAGTAGAGCCGGGCCGACCGTGCCGGTTGCTGCTCAATTGTGGCAGGCATGGATTTACGGTTTGCGGGGTTTCCAGAATATGCCAGCAAATGTCCACCAAAGAAACGGCACACATCTGGAAGGGTGAGCAGGCTCGTTTGCTGGCATGCTTGCAGGCCAAGTTTGGTCCGAATACAAGCGCCATGCTCAAACCTACAAACGACATACGGTCATACTTGAAGCATCTTGAAGCTGCGGCCTGTCATCTTCACTCAAACATGTCTTGCCTGGCTCCGCCTTGAGCAAAGGCTGCGGCCGCGGCAGAAACTGAATTTCTCGTGCAATCTCATTTGTGCGGGTCAAGCCTTCATGCTTCCAGGAAACCATGTGAAGTCTATGGTATATGGCTTACCCCCTCCGAGCAGGCCAATCGCAAAATTGCAAGATCATGTGCTGTGGAGGCTTATTGTGACCAAACTAGGTCCTCCAGTAGAGAGGTTAAGGGTACCCTTTTTTCTGTAGTCTATTTTAGTAGGGGAACCCTCCCCCAACAAAGGGTAAAAGGGCACCTAGCTGGGGGACCTAGCCAATGGTCCATGAGCAGCTGAAAACCCGTACACTTCATCCCACATCCCCCAACCCCCCGTCCGGCTTGCCCAGCGTGGCCACCGGCGACCGCGACCAGGACCACAAGGCCTTCGCCTGTGAACACAAAGCGGGGCACCCCGTCCTGCATGGGATTGACTGTAATGGTGTGAACTCCCGAGAAGAAACACATCCAAAAAGCGTATCCACTCCAACAAAAGCACCCACAGAACATAGAATCACCCCCCCTCAAAACAAAAAAAACAACTGCAAAACCAAGAAAACTACGGCCCGAAAAAACAGACAAGGCCAGGGGGTTTAGGAGTTTGGGCTATGTGAGGCTTGGATCCAAATCCGCCGACGCCAGTCGAGCGTGTAGATGGCAGTCCGCAATCGTCCTTCGGAATCTCTTATCAAAGCTGAAGGCTTTTGGGGCTATGGTGTGCTGGGTGTCCAAAACCCTGTATTTTTCCAGTGTTTTTGGGGCTTGCGTGCTCAAAATCTGCGTTTCGCCTAGGTCTCTAGGGGGGGGGGGTTTCCCTCGGACGCGCAGGATTTGGATGCCTGGCATGATCAGGATTATCTTGCTGCCATAAGTTTGTCTCTTTTTTTTGCAGATACAAATTGTGTTTTGCTGTTCCAAGCAATGTTGGAATTGGCCTGTTAGGGGTCTGGGTGGGGCCAAGTGCAGTGATACGTTGAGGAACTGATTGTTCTTGCAAACATGAGTTTTTTTTCAATTCCCAACCTGTACAGAGCAGTTACGCGAAACATCCCCTGCGTTTTCGTGCTTTTGGAAGTCTATTCTTAGGGTATTTGAGGGGGTTGCTAGTATCTGCTTTTGATGGTTGATTTTGGGGAATATCAAAAAACCCCGGTGGTTTGCTCTTTTTTGTGGCCAGCTGGCTGCATTCCCAGCATTCCCGACATCTCTAGTATTTTCGGTGTTTGGTCAATTATGCGTGTCTGAAAGTCTTAAAATTTTGGATGCGAAGATTGAGTCTGTTCCTGTACGTTGTGTGGTGGCATCCCTTGCATGTCCAGCATCCCGAGCATCACTTCCATGAAAAAAATGAAAAAGGTCTTAAAATCCCTTGACCCCACTGGCGTCGGCGGATGGCGCAGCGATTTCAACAAGGAAGGGACTGGAAAAGGAGAGCCGTCAATGGCTCAACAGAGCACTTGGCCCCTTGCTAGGAATACACAAAGGACCCCAAACCAATTTTCTACTCCTGTTGGTTGGTCAGTCGATGACGAGCTCGGTGCGCGGAATGGTTGCCAGTGGCTTTCGAAATGCCGAAGCCTAAGAATGGGGCTGTGAGGTACGTTCAAACCAAAGATGAGTACCGTCATTTCACCCCTTGTTACAGGACAAAGCACTGGGTATTTAAGCTTCACAACCCCCATGTGACAGGCATAGCGAAACCAAGCTGACACAGAGCATTTCTAGACTTGGGGACATAAATTTGGAGAACCCTGCCTCCTAATTGACGCCATTGATAAAACCCTGCCACAGAATGTTGCAACAAGGAAAGTTGCACTGGCCGTGCCATTGCTGGTGGTGTCAAGCTGGGTGCCAATTATGTTAACCGAGTTCGGAAGGAATGTCCACGGAATGCCGCTCATCAGGGCAGCCCTGGAGGGGAGTTGCAAAACCAAAACCAACGCTTGAAGCCAGTCAATGAGCTCCTCTTCGTCCATTTGTGTCTGAGTCTGCGCCAAGAGCAAGGAAGCCTAGTGGAGCAATCATTGCACAGGAAAGACATGTTACCTTTGGGGGGCAAAAAGGGTGAGATTCTATGAACTTGAACATCCAGTGGAAGGTTTTCACGGAGATCTACAAAGGGATCCACGAAGAGGTGCTGCTGAAGATACCTGACACCTCATCCCTTCCAAAGCTTGAAAGGTTGGGGCCGGTTTGAATGATCCGCGCTCGACACCAAATGCCAGCATCTGCTACACCTCTTCCTGTATTGCTAGCCAGTGACTTCACTTGTCATGACCCTTTCAAGATCAACCCCGCGGGCCTACCATTTGAGACGAGCGGTTTGTCAAAAATTTGGCCCTTTTATTGGACCCCCTGAAAGGCAGCGGAGCCCTGCGCCTCCGGCAAGGTCCAAATCTTGAGAGCTCTGTGCAGGTCGCTCCCGCGCCTTCAATCGGTTCCAAATGGGTGTCCAAAGTTGGTTCTGAGTACTGTCAACTTCTGACTTATCCAACAAGGGATGACAACCCCCTTTTTGGCCATGTGGCCTTTGAGCAATGCATAGACTGGGTTCTGACGAAATACATATTCATTCCACATATAAATTCGGCTTGGATGGCTTGGAAAGTGTGGGTTTGTGCAGTTGGGATGCCAAGGCTAATCATGTGAGCAGTATTGTGTCGACTCGAATCAAGCGTTCGTGTCCAGTCTCCGTTATCCTTTGCATTTGAGTGACAAGTCATTTTGTGTGCAATGAGCTTGATGCTTTGTGAGAAACATTTTGCATGCAAACAGCCTGACTACTCTCTCACGTAGCACCAAAGCAGCATGTCCTTGCATAGCATGCATAAAAGCATCTGCCATGCCAGGGTTTTACAGTCCTATTCTGGAGAGAAAGTTATGTGTGACTGCACCCAGCTTTCTCTGATTCGTGGGGTCCAGATTCATCCGAAGTCGACGTTTAATTTCTCAATTCGCTCGTGACCTTTACAAACTTGTTGTACAACCGTTCGCCTGGGACTCAACAGCTGCCCCGGCCCAAAACCTGCCCAAATCCAGTTGCTCGACTGAGTTGGAAAAACTAAGCGGTGCTGGCAGGGCATAGCCTTAGCATCTGCACGCAATTTGTCCGAGTGGGGACCGGTTTTGTTCAAGTCAGGGTCATAAGCTCGGAAATGAAGGACGTGTGTGCCCTCTATGCACAAGGCACATGTTCATATCATGTGTTGTCCAAGATACAAGTAACACGTATTGAAACGGGTACCTTCAACACTAGGTACCCTCTCTAACGCCTAGAGAGCTACGTCCGACAATTTCTTTGCTACATGGTCGGGCGTTGCCACCTTTCCTTTTCCTTTCCTTTCTCCAACCCTGTACCCACTTGGACTCATTAATGAATATATGGGTGTGGCTCAAAAAACCGGAATTCCAAAATGGGTTGCCCTGGTAAGTGGACACATGGACCAAACCCCGCGGTTTGCCCCTCCTGTTTAACTTTGAGCCACAGCCATATCCCCAACCAATCCGCCGACTTCTGTTCCCGCGATGGTGAGAAGCTTCCCCCAAAATGGCGCGTGGGCGGCGATTTTGTGATGCTCCGCGCGCAAGGGCTTGTCCGCGGCTGGGTGGGGGTGGGCTCGAATTCTTCCGAACTCCCCCTGATCGCCAGAGCCGGTGCTGCGTGGGGAGTTCCGGTGCGGGTGTTTTGTCCTGGTCGTGGGTGGGTGTTGTGGGGGGCTTGTGTGGGTGTTGGCTGGGTTGTGTCTGAGTGATTCGTGATGTTTGGAGGGTTTTGGGAGGGATGTGTGTGGGTCTTGGGTGGTGTGTGTGTGTGTGTGTTGACTGGGCTTTGTCTCTGGGTTTGGTGTGAGCTTTGGGAGGGTTTTGTGTGGGTGTTGGGTGGGTTTTGGGTGGGTTTGGGGTTGGTTTTGTCTGGGTTTGGGCTAGGCTTTGTGGTTTAGGTTGTGAGCTTTGGTTTTTGTGTGGGTTTGGTCTGTTTTGTGTTTTCTATTGTGGCGCCGCTGGGTGGGGGGAGTTCGGTGCGGGAATGGGTGGGTTTTGTGTGGGTCTCGGGTGGGTTTTGGGGGTTCTGTGGGTATCAACGTATGGCAATCAATCATTGTACTCAAACATATACCTTTCCTCAACATCGGATTACATCAACTGTCGGAGTGAAACCCATATCGCTCATCAACGTCTAACTTCCGTAATTCCATCATCCATATCCTCGACATATACCTTTCCCCCACATCAGAACATGTCTCTCTAAATTAAACACATCTCCCTGAGTATCTACATTAAACACCAATCAGTCTTCAAACTCTAACATGTATCAATCACATACACCACTTGATCCTGCCTCGGGGAAGGGTTTGCGGCTTCAGTCGTGCATACGTATGCAATCGTGGCTCCAAACAGGCAAACAGCTTCGTCTTTAAACACTGGACCCTGCAAAAACTTTCTGCAGCAAAAACAAGATGCTATCGCCCAACGTGAGAAGTCAGCAGATTGAGCCGTATCCTCTAAGGCTTATACTGTAAACCAGGGTATACTTGAACCTAATGAACAATGATGTCAAAGGCAATGTGTACCCCTGAGAAATAGCCCACACCAGTCACATTAACGCGGAACATTATGTCAGCAAAGGTAGGTCAAATGTTGCTCTTGGAGCTCTTTCACCGGCCTCGTGTCGAAGACCAGTGGCCCGTCCCCCGACTGCCTGGCGCACAAGCGCGCAGGGCAATCGGCGTGGCTAGTGCATCCCAAAAACACGGCGCCCCTTGTGTGAGACGGTTTGATTCAACTTGCGGGTGTTTCCGCCCGTAGGCGTCCTTGTGGAACCATAAATTAGATGAGGACCAAACTGACAGATGCAACATTTTCAGCCTGTTTGAAGAGAACCAGGGATACCCAGTCATTTATCAGTGTCCCTCATTTTGGGAAACCCACAGCGGGCAAGAGAACGCAACAAAAGAACCACATCATGGCGCGTGTCACTCTGAGATTGGCCACACTACACCTCAATAACATGTCTCAAAATGAGGAAGCGCCAGAATGGGCCTCAGTGGCCCTTTGGTTTCACTGTTACCCGCAAGAAAGGTACTCCCCCCCCCAAAAAAAAAAACACAAAACAACAACAGCAAAAAAAGGCCCTCAACAACATGCTATGGCCAGGGCCCTTGCAAACTGATTCTGGAACATGTCCACCGTCAAGACTTGGCAAGCGACAAAGGAAGGCAGTCGTTAACATGCTAGTAGAGTCCAAGCAAGTTGGGGAAAGGACAAGGCATAGACTGGCAGCATCACGCAAATTGGGAGAACTATACAATCCAACCACCCAAATCCGGATTCTGGCTAAAGTTGTAAGCCCTGTGCTCGCAGGTATGGTTCACCGCAATAAGCATCGCACCCTCAAACACAAATAGTAAGGACACCCCCAGCCTGAACAAGGGGGTCAACCCCTGGCCAGGTCTATAGGGACATGTCTCAATAACCGCTGTTGCTTGGAAACCCCGTGTTGCTACTGCTTATCCCTGAAGCCCCGCAGCCGCCTTACAAACCAGTGCTGGTGGCTCGCGCAACGATAAGAAACACATCGCAAATGACAGCCACAAGTCTCACTGACAAGTCCAACAGGCCAGTCCACAGAAACAAATTAAACTCACAAACTCTTTCACTCGGATCGCCATCCCCTGAGAACCGTTCGGCAAGAGAGACAATGAGCTGCAATACAAGACGCGGTGTTGTCTTCAAATCTTTAACAATCCTTCCCTCCAACTCCCAAGCGGGGGTGCCTTTGTATGACAGCCTATGGGATGCACTATGTGCGTGTACCTAAAGCGGCGGATAATTGCCCCCCGGGATAGGCTTTGCAATCTTGGCACCAAATTCAATCAAACCCCCAACCATGCTTGCTCCACTAGAGGAGTGGCATAATAGCATTCACCTGCATGTCGTGAAATTGTCGAGGCCGAATCCATGCAACTTCCGTGAATCTGTCGCTCTGCAATATCAAATGAGTTGTTATCTTGCAGGACTTATGCATTTCAAGCTGTCACCTTACACGATGTAGTAGATATCTCATGGTGTCGCCTTGCTGGAGCTGTAGATATCATTACATTAATTGCAAGCATGCATGTTCATAGATGCACGAGCTCTTTGTGAAGAACCTGTTCGCATTCTGATCCTCTTGAGAAAAGCCCCATTCGGGTTACCACAGGTAGTTCCAAGCGAAGCTGCGCTGTTTCGTGGAACAACTGCATCCTGCGCGCCTGGTTCGCCATGTTTTAATCGTAACAATCAATCCAACAACTCAAGCTGCTCAACCCGCGTTGAGGTCAACTGAGTCCGTACACGTCATACGGCTCCGGTTGCGGCAATGATCTCGTCTTTACTTTCCAATGCATTGCTCAGTATTACTTTGGCAACTCGAGGCTTACAATTCGCCTCGGCCCCAAAGGGGCCAAGGCCGCTCAGATCTCTTCTCCAAAGAGAATCTTCGCTTTTCCCCGGCCCAAGCTTCAAGCAGCAACCCGCCCAAGCACGGCCCCAAGTCATCCAGCAAGCCCAGCCCAGCCCAGGCCCTGGCGCATCTCAGCCAGCTCCCAGCCCACCAGCAGGCTCAGCCCAGCGTGCCAAAATCAGGTTTGTCTAACGTGTCTGAGACTGGCCTCAGGCCAACGACCAGTCTCACGTGTCTGAGACTGGTCTCAAGCACGCCAGCTACTAAGCCTGTCTGACGTGCCCCAGCCCCTCAGTCCGGCTGCCCAAGCAGCTCAGCCCAGGCTGGCCAGGCCTTGACCTCCTGGCAGCGTAGTCCGGCTGCCCGGCAACCAGCAACCCACCCTGGCTGAGACGAGCTTCAGACCCAGCCCAACCAGCAACCCACCTCAGCCCAGCCTGCCCAGCCCCAGCTCCCAGCCCACCACCACCTCAGCTTTGTCTAACGTGTCTGAGACTGGCCTCAGGCCAACGACCAGTCTCACTGGTCTCAAGCTATGCCAGCTACTAAGCCTGTCTGACGTGCCCCAGCCCCTCAATCCGGCTGCCCAAGCAGCTCAGCCCAGGCTGGTCAGGCCTTGACCACCTGCTCGCGTCTGGCCCCAAGTCATCCAGCAGGCCCAGCCCGTTCGGCGCAGTGTGAGACTGGTCTCAAAGTATGCCAGCCTGTCAGGCCCAGTCCCTCAGCCCACCTGCTGGCGTGTCTTACGTGTCTGCGACTGGCCTCAGGCCCAGCCCAGCACTGGATTTCGGTGTTCCTGACCCTTCCCTCAAACTAGGCTGGGCCGAGGCGGGCAACGCGAAGCGTTTACAATTAAAGTTGTGCTGCCAGTAATGCGACAACATCAATGCAAATCAAGCAGGCCGCACAGAAATAACGTCTGCATTTCAGACCATCAAGAGGCCGGGTAAGACCATGGAGTTCAACAACTTACATGATTGGACACTTCTGACATCCACTTCTAAGCCACCAAAGTCGTCACCTCGCTTCAGCAGAAACTCGATACGTCATTTCAATCATTTGTTCGAGCCATTCTCGCTCACATCATCTCTACTCTTGGTATGGTAGCAAAAAACATTGTTTTTTGCAGACCCCCAGTAAAAATGAATAGAACCAACAAACTAAAAAAACAAAAAACATGCCAAGAACAGTGAAGACATTACTGCGATTCAAACATCCCTCGTTCAATTTCGCAGTCTCCACCAGAACTCGATCCGAAACTCGCAGCTTCGCCCCTCCCTGCGACCGCTGGAGACATGGTGTGGATTTTCATAAGGGACCCTTAAGTGGACATCAAAACCCGGTGATGCTTGTTCTGCACCACTATGACTAGGTCCTCCAGTAGAGAGGTCAGAATAAAGGTACCCGTTTATCCTGTAGTCTATTTTAGTAGGAGAACCCTCCCCCCAACAAAGGGTGAGAAAAAGGGCACCTAGCTGGGAAACCTAGGACAAAAATGCCCCACTATTTGCGGGCACTATTCGCGGGGCTTCCCCATGCGCACCCCACACCACCTCCCGAGTCGTCGTTTTGGTTCGAGTCGTCGTTTCGGTTTCGGTTTCCCGCTCGCCCGGCCACTCCGCCAGCGTCAGCCGCTTCGGAGCCCCGAAGCCGCCGCCGGACCTGGAAAGGGCCGCTCGACCTCGCCTTCGGCCCTCGGGCGTGGCTCGAAATTGGCCATGGGGCAAAATCCAAATCGTTCGCCCAGTGAACATCCCAACCACTAAAATAGGTTCTAAAATGGGTGGTGACTTCACCTACCAACCAACGGCCAATTCAAGACCTGGGGATACCGCAGGTTTTAGTCTTTGTCTCCATTGACCAAGAAACTCTGACCCATGGAAGTGGTATACTAGCAAAAGGTAACTGGTATACAGCATATGCGCACATTATGGGGGAAAATCAGACCATTTTGGCACAACAATTCGGCATAATCATGCCATGTGCGTGTTTACCATAAACCAAGAATTGGCCATAAAACCATGCGCATTTCAGTGCCCAGTGTTTCTCAGATGCTTCACATGTGTTTCTAGCAAACACATGAGAAGCATGTGAGGAGCACAGAGCCATTATCCGCAGACTCATGCACATCCAGTATCATTGCTACACACATGAGGGTTGGTAAGTTGCCTGCATAGCTTCCACACATGTGCGTTGGTTAAGTGCTTGATATGGTTACAATACAGTGAGCATTGGGTGGGTAGGCACTATGGTTGTGACACGCATGTGGTGCGTTGTTTGCCCTCATTGGTTACATGTGTGCTTCTGTGTGTGCATGTTCATATTACTGAGAAGATTGACATGTGCTTCTGACATGAAACTCCTGTGCTGAAGAGCTGAGCACAGGAGTGGCATGTCCAAAGCACATGTTACATGCCAACATGGAACATGCCCTGGCGCAAGCAGCAGCTGCAGCGGCTTGCCCTGCAGCATGAGGAGGTCTGCCTGGCGCATTTGCAAGTACAGCTACATGTTTCAGAGCGCATGGTTTCTTAACTAGACACCTCCAATCACTCAGGAACTCCAAGCCACATGTGCTAAGCAAAGCCACTGTTTTGCTATCAATTAAGCTTTGAGAAGGAGGGGCGGGACCGCATGGAAAGGCATGGTGTTGAAAGCCCACGCCAGGCAAGGCAGAGCTACTGCCTGCACAGCACTGAACTCAGAAAGATCATCATGGGTTGCACTGCCAGGCCACCTCACATACAACTGGGAGTTTTGCCTGTTGACCTATTGGTCCAGTAAACCACTGGAACACTTGACCACTGGAACACTGGGCCACCTTGCGACACAGTTGGAACCGTCCCATCACAGCCCTTAATGGCAAGGACAGCCACCAAAAACAATGCAATTGTTACATGGATTGCTGGACCACCATCATGCCGCACAGTTGGAGCTCTCACATCATCAAGAAGCTGAAATTGTCCACCTGAGGTTAAGAAGACCCTGGTCCCAGCGGCTCTGCAGGGTGCTGGCCCCAGTGCAAAGCCTCCCTGAGTTCTCAAGGTCACCCAGCAAAAAGAAACCATAATATTTCATTCTTGCCCTGCAGTTGCACAGCAGTTTCAACCTCTCTGGTGACCCCTGCTTAAATGTGGCAAGATTGTCCGCTGGTCCCATGTTGAGTGGGCCAGTGAGTGCTGATGGTTGCTGGACACCTTTCAGACCAACTTCTAAGGGCCCGACCCCAAGTAGTGCTTCAGACACTTGGGTTTGCATGTGGGAGCATGATGTGTGCCCAGTGGCCGTCAAGTGGATCCAGTGCATCAAGTGGATCCAGTGCCACTTCAGGAGCCATGGAGATGCCATCATCGGCCCCAGCATCATCCGACAGTGCGCATGAGCTCCGCAAGGTGTTGGACGCCATAGGCTCCCTCCGTGAGGAAGTTGCCAGTCTCAGGGCCGATCTTACTCAGCTTGAAGCTCCTGATCCCCGAGTTCCTTTGCCCCTGCTCCTTGTGTGGGCTTTCCTGGGTGGAGGCATCACCTTTACGATGATCGTTGGCTACATTTTCCATTTTACACATGATTGCTGATCCTGTCAAGTGGAAGTGGATCCAGGACAAGAGATCAAGTGGATCCAGGATGATAAAAAAGGGCACTCTGCACCGGGCTGAAATCACATGAGTGGCAATACATATATATATATATGTATACATGGGGTCAAGTGAACCATCTTCAACAATTATGGAGCATCCTTCTACTCGAGTCCTTGTTGGGCCAGTGTTGGCTGCCCATTGGTAGTAGTGCCTCCCTTCCCCCGGCCCAGGCCTCCACGTGGACTATGGCAAGCTGACCAAACCTCAGAGTGCACGTGCACACAAGTCACAGTGTTGGCACATGGATGAGTCTTGGTCACAGTGAGCGTGTGTTTCTGTAGCCAGCATGGACCCTACCCATGAGGAAATGCATTTTTCAAAGAGTGGGGTGCACTTCCTCTGACCCAACTGCTTTGCAGTAGCAACACATCATAAAGAGCATCCAGGCAATGAGCAGGCAGCAGCCTGCAAACATGACTGGCAATTCAAACATGATGAAGCCCGGGCGGGCCTCCTTATGCTTGGATTGCCCAGTCATGTTTGAGTGCATGCAAGTTGGCTCCATGCACCACAGAAACATGGTCTACATGAAAGTTATGAGACGCACATGAGATACATATGAGAACCATCTGAGATGCATATGAGAAGCACATGCGAGACATATGAGAAGGATGTAATCAATATGAGAGACGCATATGAAACACATGAGAAATATGATAAAATATGAGGACATATGATAAAATATGATAAGCACTGAGACATATGATAAATGTATGAGAAACATGAAAAACTGCACATAGCACCCTCCAGGGCTCACCTTCCCAAGGTGTAGCCGCCATGGAGTGCAGCTCGATGTGCTGAAAGGCGTGGGTGGGCAGTGCGCACGTGGGAAGCAAGAGTGAAAGTGCACTGATCTTATTGTTGAATCTATGCTGCTACACAGTTTGCCAGTTCTGCAGCGTTTTTTGGGCAAGGCAGTCATCAAACATTCAGCAGGCACTCAGCAGACCCAGCAGACCCAGCAGCTCAGTATCTAATGCCCCTCCCAAGCCATGGAAGAATTTCACTGGAGTGCTTGGCGGAATGCTGAGAGCTGGTGGAGCGGGAGAGCACTGAGCCTCCTCTGCACTTGCAACTTCCTGCCAACACATGCCAATCGCATGCAGGCACGTGGATTTCACTTGTTGGCTTGGTAGCTGTGCGTCAGGATAACTATGCCATGTGCTTTGGAGCACCCTCCCGCATAAGTAGTGCATGAAGCTGCTGTAACTACAGGCATGGCCTGTGTGGCATCAGCTTCCCATGTGAGCTGCGCGCAAGGACTCCTACCTGAGCTGACTGCGCCTGGGTTTGTCCGTGCACTGCTTCAGCGAGTGCCGGCTGGCCCAATTGATGCTGCCACCTGGCAAAAGGGGTCGCTGAGGGAAGCCCAACCATACTCAGTCTTCTCTGTTTCACCCAAATCCAATCGCTAAGGAAGATGTCATCAAGACGCAAATGCGGGAGTGGCCCAGTGAATCCAGCCGGCCATGACATTTGAGCAGAGGCACGTCCAGTGTCTCAGCTTCAGCCATGGTAGGGGATTTGGTAGTCTCCAAATGCCTCTTCCATGGCTGAAGCAGAGACACTTGGCCTGGGTCCTTAACTGAATCGAATGGAGAGCACAGGCCCAAATTTCAGGCGCCACTAATCCAGTGGATGCAGCAGATCTAGTGGATCCAGTTGATCCAGGCAGTGATGACACCATTTCAAGGGCAGCGCCCCAGCCCACGCCAAAGTGCCAGAAGATCAAGGCTGGGGGCTGGCATGTGTGGCCGCCAAACTACTGATGCGCAGTGGTCTTTTCAGCTGGTCAGCTCAGCTCTCCGACAGGAAGGCCTACTACACCATGCTTGATCTAGTGATCCCACTGCACGCCTTCCACGATCCAGCGCAGGACACTAGGCACGCGGGCACGAGTCCCCTCATTCAGGAGAAGTTGGCCAGGCATCCCAAGTTCAGTGTCATGCTGTGCCCTGGCTGGCACACGGCTTGCTGGCGCAGGTGTGATTAACTTGGGCTTGCCTCAAACTTTAGTCCAGATGCTATCTGAGGAGGGGCTGGGTCCAGGGCCTCAAGTGAGTCAAGGATCTTCGACTCTGCCTTGCATGCAGTGCTGGTAGACACCGGAGTGAATCATGATTTCCTGGCTGCTGAGATGAAGCTTGGCATGATGTGGCAAAAGGCAAAGGTAGCTTCAGACCAGTACGTTGTTAAATCGTAAATGAGAAAGGGGCTGGTACTTGGCGTTTGCGCGCACACTTCAGCCCCAGGCCAGCTCTATGAGGTGGAGTTGCGTCACCTGGCGCAGCAGTGGTGGACTGGGTGCAAGGGCTGCATGGTGCAGCAGCTTTCTGGCTTGCGTTAGACGCATACACTTCATACATGACATCCGTTGCACACCCTTGCCACCCTCCTGCCACACTGACCTGCTCTGTGAGGCACCACAGCAGGCCTGCGCAGGAAGTGAGACAGCTAGCTTGACAGATTTGGCAGGCAGCACTGCACTCCAGCGAAGTCCAATTAATGGCTCCAGTGGGGTCTAGTGGCTCCAGCAGGGTCTTGTGGCTCCAGTGGGGCAGTGGTCTCTAGCCGTCGCAGAAGTGGCAGGGGGGAAAAAGCACAATGCCCGGCTGCTGGTGGTTTGTGGCTTGCGCAATTTGTCCGGTCCACGCCTGCCAGGCAGTCCTCATGCTGCGCCAGGGCCTCAGCTTGGCTGATCATATGTAGCTTGGTGCAATGTGAGCACATGCTTTCACCATGACACCCCACAGTAGGGTCGCCTGCATGAGTTGGATTCAATCTGCTAGCAACGGGCAAGCCACATGTGCATCGCAGTCGCTCTCACAGCCCACCGAGGACGGCTACTCGCCATGCTTGGGGCCAAGTGTGAGTTGCACCCGGCGTTCCCTGTCACACTTGACCTCACATCCAATGCATGGCAAAGCTTGTGGCCCATACCTGCTTAATGAGGACACAGTGCAGCTTTTATAACTCATGGTTTGCCTGACCCAGCGCGCTTTCACTGGTAAATGACTCTGGTGT